AATTTGCTGACATTATAGAGAGAATATGGCTTAACGCACAGATCGCCGCTTTTTACACGTTAATTACAACTATTTTCTTCATACCCTAAACCTAAAAAAATAATAAATTTTTGAAAATAATAATTTTTTGGCAATTTAATGGTAAATAATGGTCAAAAAAGGATCTTTTTTTTTTTATAAAGGAGTAATTTTAACAAATCGCGATTTTTTATAATTTTGTTAGGTTTATCGTATACATTCAACATTATTAATTACAAATCAATTTGATTTTTTTATTTTAGATAACTAGTTCTGGCTGCACAATGTCAGCAATTTAACATAAATCTATGTAGACACGTTTGCCGCCATTATTGCCTCTCGGACATTTCTATATATTTTAATTACTAAAAATTCATACTTATTGTATAAAGTGCAAATAAAATATAGATCCAAATCTAAAATTAAGCTGTATCCATTTATCCACAAAAAAATTACAAAAAATCGTTGATTTTTTGACCCTTCAAACTACCCGGCCCGCTTAAGGTTACTATTACAGAAATTTTGTCTGCGGTAGCCTTTACAACCACAACCATTTAAGATCGTGACACTGATAAGAATCAGCCAATTAGAATTAAGATTTTAAAAGAATTATTAACTGTGATTGGCTCATTCTTAGGCCGGAATCAGACTATGCATTGAAGATTGAGATTAAAGATTAAAAATTGAAATTTCACCAATGAGGACAAAGAAATTTTGCTTCCTTTTGTTCTGATTGATCAAACTTCAATCTTTCAATCTTCAATCTCATTCTTCTATGCGTAGTCTGATTCCAGCCTTACTGTACGTCTTACGATTACTGTTACGAAAGGTGTGCCATGGCCTTTACACATATTCTACAATAAGTCATTAGTAAGTTCGGATCTACAATAGGGTTTTAAGCCTTAAGCCATAAGAAATGGGCAAATCGCAGTCGTTTATTCTTCTCGGATTCGACTGTAATTGGTCAATTTCTTACGGCTTACGGCTTAAAACGCCTATTGTAGATCCAGGGTAATAAATTAGAAGTCAGAGGCTAAAAATTGACCAATCACAGTCAAATGTAAGAATAATTGACTATGATTGGTCAATTTCTAGCATCTGACTTCTGATTTATTACTAATGGCTTATTGTAGAATGTGCGTTACAACTATGCTTATACAATTATAAAATAGGCATTACCCCGGATCTACAATAGATTTTTAAGCCTTAAGCCATAAAGAATGGACGAATCACAATCAATTATTCTCCTCGCACTCGACTGTAATTGGTCAATTTCTTACTACTTAAGGGGGTATTCTACTTTGTCAAGTAAAAATATCGATTTTTTTACATTTTTTTCAATCCTTATAGTCTGTAGAATATCTGTAAAATTTTATACAAAAATTCACAATATTAACGAAGTTATAACAATTATTCTGCGCAGCTGTCAGCGCGCTAACTGAGCGCAGTATTCTACTTTGACGGACGGACCATTTGCGTCAAGTAGTATTACTCTATGCAGCTAGATAGTGCTATATACAACTCAGGATGATCCTTTGTGTCTGAAATTTCGTTCAAAATTTCCGTTATAAGAGGTCAATGTGTTTTCGAGATACGGACGCGAATTTTTGAAGTGAAGCATAAATTCAGTAATCTGGACAATGGCTCCAAAACATCTCCATTGTGATAAAAAAATTATAGAAATTACAACATTCTTAGTCGTTTGCAATTTTAATGATTAAGGATTTCACAAAATTCTACAAATTATGGATGTGATGGGACTAAAAATCGGCCAGATTGCTAAAACGTACGCAGATGCCAGAGACAATGAGCGCATTAAACGTTCTGACAAACGGGCGTCTTAAGCGGACGAGTTTAAAGAGGCAAGGATTGCCAGGAGAGAAGAAATGGCTGCCAAACACGATGAATTTGAAGCTGAGGAAGGTATTTTATACGGAGCAGGGTATAGCCGATTAAGGGTAAGTTAATGAAATTACTCATTATTCACCTCGTAAATGCATGAGAAACTTTAAACGCGTTTTTCTCGTTTTTAAACGGCTTTTTTCAAATCGGGCATGTATTTTTCTCAATGAACTACTGGGCCGATCAACTTGAGCTTTAGCACATATAAAGTGTACATATTAAACTATCGTTTGACCCTCCAACTTTTTGATATCTTCAAAATTACTATTTTTCCGGATCGCAAGAAATAAATAATTTTTAGTAAAAATTGAAACACTTTTTTTCAAGTGCCGTTATTTTGTCAACTTTACTTCCAAGTATTTATTAGAGGACCGAACGATAACTACATTTATAAAGAATAAAACAAAAAAAAATTTGTTTGTTTCAAATGACGAGGATGGCAGCAATCATCACGCCCGATGAAAGCAAATTTTTTAATTTTGATATATATATTTACTTATATCTTTTACAATTAACAATAGAACGCTTTGTAAAAATTTGAGATAGTATTTCAAATATAGATAAATGTAAAATACATAAAATTAGCTGTATAGATTTAACCATTTTTACAAATTTAATTCCCAAAAATCATCTTAAAAACGAGTAATCAAAGTAGAATACCCCCTTAAAACACCTATTGTAGATCCAGACTTGTGGACTTTCTACAATAAGTCATTACCTAAGCTTTAAGTCTTAAACCGTAAGAAATTGACTAATCATAGTAAATTATTCTTCTCACATTCAACTGTAAGTTCGGATCTACAATAGGTGTTTTAAGCCTCAAGCCGTAAGAAATTGGCCAATTACAATCGAATGCGACAAGAATAATTGATTGTGATCCGTCCATTATAGCTTAAAGCTTACAAATCTATTGTAGATCTGGACTAATTGGTTAATTTCTTACAGCTTAAGACTTAAACTTAGGCTACATTTCAAAACGTCTTTTCCGAGGAAGATTTTACTCTATAGTATATGTTACGTGTACTATATATATGCTATAGTATGTTACATGTACTATATATTTCAAGTAAAATTTTCCTCGGAGAGGAAGTTTTGGAACGTAGCCTAAGATAATAACTCATTGTAGAAAGCCTATTACACTGACATTAAGGTGATGTCATAATGACCCGAATAATTTTTTGTCTACTCTTGTAATGTCATCTATGATTTTAGAAAATTAACAGCATTTATGGAATAATAGTCTAAAAAAATGAACTATTAAGCTACTGTGCGGTTAGTTAAAGCAAGTATAAATATAGGTGTATACAAAATATAGATGTTTAGTTTAATAACATCTTGGATCATTGGCTACATTTACACCATGCAATTAGGCTGTGACCTATACCCAAAGACATAGAGAATGGACTGCACGATCCGTGTAGTGGTATAGGATATGTTGGTCGAGGAAAATGAGAGAGAGGGACGTAGGTTGCGGCCAATCTGTGTCTTTTTCTACTCAA